TTTGGATAATTACCTGCAATTCCCGGTGGGAATGAGAATCGCTCTTGAAAGCGCATATAATCGCACACGGCCAGGGAACCTCCCTGAGTTCCATTCTACAACCGGAGAACACGCGGTAGTACGCCGTCACAGAATAATCAGACGCGGCGAAGGTACTTCGAGGCTTTCCTCTATCCATGATAACTAAATGTTCGAGGACGAACATTCTAATTTTGGGGAGATAATGTTATGATACGACATGAGCCAGATTATAGATTCTGGGCATCCTGTATAATACGAAGGACGAAGAGTCTAAACATTCCTGATCGGGGTTACCCCTCACCTACTGTATAGAAGGGTTCCGAACTATAAAGGAGCGTGAGGCTGAGACATCCCTGAAGAAGGATAAGACTTTTTAGACATCGAGAATACGACAGATAGACTAGGCCTATCCACTAAGGCTGAACTATCTATAAACCGATCTACTCGTAGTTTAAGAGACAGCTCCAGGCTGTTTCATAATAAGTATTCTTATGGTGTGTCAATTATATAATGCATGTTTTGAGTATTCTATACAAATGGGGCCATCTTTGCTATATGGGCGTAGAAGTCTCCGGAAACTTAGTTTGCAAGATTCCAGCTCTTTCCCCAACAAAAGTTCAGGCTTGCGTTCCCAGAATTCAAAAACTATTTCCAGAACTAGTCAGCCAACACCAACGCGGATTCATGCAGAACCGGAAGATCAACCAGAACACTAATTTGCAGACTTTTCAGGGGAGGCCCAATGAAGAAATAGCTCCTCTCTAGTCAGTCGGATATGGCGGTGAAAGCACGAATTCAGAGGACGCCAAAATAAATCCGTTTGAGAATTTCAAAAAGAATCGAGATCAGAAAAATGAAGCAGACTGTCCCTTTTCTTTCCGGAGTGATGGCTTCCCTATCTACATCTCAAAGTTTCCTCACCCTCAAGGACACAAGGCTGCCCAAGATTAGTTAAACTTCTCCGCAGCTTTGTAATTTGGCAAAGTCTCGTTTGTGTTGAGGCAAATGCGCAGCTAACGAACAAGAGCAAAACATAGAATCGACTAAAATACAAGATAAAAACCCCGCGTTGACTCTCCCAACTTTTAAAATATACTGCAATTTCAAATTACATGACAAATATGGGATGGCGCATGTTATGAAAGCCACGAAGAGAGCACAACAGTACCCAGGTCGCAATTCAGATGTCTCACCAGAATAAAAATATTAGAGATCCATAAATGCAAACAGCCTTCAAACATCAAACCTACACATTAAACATTTTCTTGGAAATGAAACACGATGAAACAACTATATATCAAATGGACCAAACTCAAACTTCCCGACAATACAGTTGGAAGACGTCGCAGACACCCATGAAGTCACCGGAAGACAGCTGGAGGATACATACCCCACTGCTGCTTTCATAAAAATTGTACAAAAAGCGATTGGAATTATCTTAGATGGTGTTTAAACCTAAAAAGTCAACTCTAGATGCATTAAATGAATTAGAGTTAGAGGAGCAGGATTTCATGAGTGACACAAACAGTATGCCCCACTCATATTGTACATTTGCAAAACACTCTGCTGAATCGCCGCACACGCTCCTCTAACAATCAGCCAGTTCATTACAAAACTTCCACATTTGCCCAAACTCTCCTTCTCCCCCAAGCCCTTTCATGCATGTAAGGTTCTCTCATATAAAAGAAGAGTACTTCACACACCTACAAATACACTTGCGCCGATTGTACTTGGTATCCATTTTTTCGTGGAGTTCCAAAATCCTGGATCCTGAGCCACACTTATGAGCTGAGCGGATCCTACAGAAACCTATCCTGGGTGTTGATGACGTAATATCCAATACATAAACAGGTGCGGAGAGCTTTATCAAATGTGCTTCAATATCATCATTTTTCCTGTTTTATTGAAGAACATAATCTGCCAAAAGAAAAGTTTTATGGAACACTTGATAACATAAAGATGATTTCTTTCTATGGTCACTGCCAAAAAAGGCCCAGATCTGATTGTATCTTGATTTTTACCCAGACCAGATGACTCAGCAGACGACTGTATTTTGGTTTTCCGGCTCTATCTTGACTAGATTTCTCCATTTAGATTTTAATTCTCTATCTTCATTACATTTCTCCATTCTGATCTTAGTTCTCTATCTTCATTATATTTCTTCATATAGTTGTCTGTCAAAGTCATGGTTCTCTATTTTGGCGCTAAATTTCTCTCTTTAGTACATTTTTGATTTCTCTATTTGGTGTATATTCCTTTGTTTTGATTATTATTCCCTTTCTTGATTTGCTTTCCTCTGCCTCGATTCCGTTACTCTACCTTGTATTTTCGATGATCTTTCTCTACACTGGTGTCTCCATTATATATCTCCATCTAGTTTACATTCCTCTATCTTCAACACTATTATATTCCTCTTTCTTGGTTGTAATTTTCGTTTTTTGATTCATATTTGTCTATCTCTGATGATTCCCATATGTTGATAGCGTTCCTCTGCCTTCAACATATTCCTCTATCTTGTTTACATTCCCTACCTTGATTATATTTCTGATATCCCTGTATGTTGTTTATATTTTATTACCTTTTAGATATCTCTTTAGCCTAATAACGTTTTTCGATCTTCAATATAATTTCTATGTTGTTTACATCTCCTTATCTCAGTCCCAAACCTTTCTGGAGAGCGTTCCTATAACTCCATACATTTCTCCATATTGTTCACATTTTCTATCTGGACCATAATTCTCTATCTTGATCCCATTCTTGTCTCATGATAAATGCCTCTAATGCATTTCTCTATCTTCTCGATATTCCTTTACCTCGTTCACATTTTCCTGGGCTATAATTCTGTACCTTCATCCTATTCCTTCTCCAATACATTTCTGTATCGGCTCAATATTCCTTTTTCGTTTGCATTTTCATCTCAAATATACTTCTCTATCTTGATCCCATTCCTTCTCCAAAGGGTTTCTCTAACTTTTTAATATTCTTACTTGCTCACACTTTCATCTCGAGTATATTTCTCTATCTTAATCCCATTCCTTCTCCAATACATTCTTCTTTCTTCTCAACATTCCTACTCGTTCACACTTTCATCTCGAATATATTTCTCTATCTTGGTTTCAGTCCTTCATTTCAATCACGTTCCTCTCCAATACATTCCTCGATCTTCTCAACATTCCTACTCGTTCACACTTTCATCTCGAATAATTCTCTCTTGAGCCCATTCCCTCTCCAATACATTCCTCTATCCTCTCAACATTCCTACTCGTTCACACTTTCATCTGGAATATATTTCTCTATCTGCATCTATGTTACAAACCATGCATCCTTGGATAAGCCGGATGTCTAGGCCAAGTTGGCTCTCTCCCTGGCAGCCAAAACCTGCGAGATGGTGTCGTTCACCGAAGTGGGCAAGTCCACAAAAGAGAAGCCCAAGGCCTCTCTGGTCTTCTTGTTGTCGACCTTGGAAACCTCCACAGGCAGGCCAGGGTTGCCTACTGGCAACTTGTCCTTCAAGGACGCGAAGTTCGCGTTGATGATGTCGAGGATGCTTTGCGAGCTGAAGTCGCCGCTGTGCAACAAGAGACGCTGGTTCTTCCAGTCGTTCTCAAACGCAGCCAAGTGGGCCTTGGCCACGTCACGCACATCGATGAACCAGCCGGCCATGGGAGGAACCTCGGACTCGGGCGTCAACTTCAACAAGCCGGCAACCACCTCGGACGAGAAGTTGAGTTGCGGCGACACCTCGGAGTCGTAGGCCTGGGGGCCAAAGACAAACGCGGGGTTGATGGTGTTGAGTGCATACTGTGGCTTCTCCTCATTGTAGAAGTCCCAGGCGGCCTTCTCGGCAAACTTCTTGGAGCCGAAATAGCCGAAAAGCGGGTTTGCCTTGGACTCCTCCCAGGAAATGGAGTTCCAGGTGTCCTCGCTGATCTGGGTCTTGGGGTCGGCCATCTGGCCGGGGTGCACCTGCGCCGCCACGGACGAGGTGATGACAACCTTTTTGATTTGGGACCCGTGTGCCTTGATGGCCTTCAACACATTGAGCGTGCCCTCGACGGCAGGGTTGAGCAAATCCTTCTCGATGTCCTCCACCTCGAAAGTGACAGGCGAGGCCGTGTGCAAGAACACAGTGACCTCCGGGTGTTTTTCCAAGGCCTCGTCAAAAGCACCGACGGGTGTCAACAGAGGCACGACCTCGTACGAGAACTTGTCGGACGAAAATACCTCCCTGAGATGCTCTCCCTTTTCGCTGGATCTCACCGATCCAACGACGGCATAGCCTTTGGAGAGAAGAAGCTTGATGATGTGCTGCGCGATGTAGCCAGTGGCGCCGGTGACGAAGACAGAAGTGGACATGGTGTTAGTGTGGGTATTCAATTGAATTGATTAATTAGAAAGAGAGGTAAGAATGGGCCAACACGGCCATTCTTATACCTTGCAATATAGCAATCGCCGGCCCAATTTCTAAGCTGCGGCCTGCATGCGCGCCGCCGCCGGATGATTGTGTGCAAGCCGGCGATGATGTCGGCCGTCGGCAGAATCGGCATCCCGGCGAACGGGCCCGTTTTGCCCAAAAAAAAACGGTGGGCGCCAGAATTACAGGCGCCTTTGCATCCTCGTAGATCTGGGGCATTTTGGCGGTGGGCTGGCGCTGGCGTTCGGGCGCTTTGGCCTTCCCCAGACTCACGTGACCCGCGGGAGCTGACAAACCCTGCATGACCAGCGACGGTGCTTGGCGTTATCACGCCTTCTGTTTGCCACGGGGCGCCCTGTGTTCGCCTGCCTTCGATCTGCGGGATGATTATGTCATATTTCCCTGGGGCTTCTGGAGTATTCTTTGGCAAAACGCCCATGCTTTTTCGCGGCGTGCTGGACTAATTTCGCACTAAAAGATTAGGGCCGAACAATGGGCGGGAGGGTGCATTTTCGCACCCAGGAACCTTAAGTATATTGGCGGACATCGCCCGTGTTCTTCACGTACCCGGCATTTTTTGGGTATCTTCTCTTTTTTGTATTTGTGAACATTTCAGAGAAGCAGTATCAGCAGCAACACGTCAAGTTTTAGCAAAGCTACGGTCGGGCATACTATCATGGCTTTCGCCGGAGGCGACATGGGCTAGTGCACGACCAGGGCGTGGGGAGAACCCGAAACAGAAACTATCGGAGGAATGGAAATTTGGGCATCAGAATCAAATTGCCGCTGCTTGCATGCTGAGTGTACACTTCCAAGTCAACCTCTTAAATCAAATGAACAACAATAAAACTTTGAACGGAGATGTTCGCGCATAGACAGCACTGCTCTGGCCGGATCTGTGCACGCGAATATAGAAGTAATTCTAAAGTGAAAGCGAATTGAGCTTTCTCAGTGGTATGGGATTTGGACACTGGCGGTCGGAGCCGTTAACATCATTTATTCAGCTCTTGTATTGAGCGAGCCTGGGACGGAGAATCATTCTTCAGAAGGATTTGTACAGACGTGCCCCCGGACTAAAATTGAGGGAAACGGCTGTAACAACCGGGTACAAACCTATTTTTCGTTTCCTTCGCTCTGTTATTTTCAAAGCAGGGGTACTTGGAACATGGGCAAAATGCGAACTTGAAGTCAGACCACAGATTGGCCAAAGTGCATTGAGGCAAGTTCATTGCGGGGTCTCACCTGAAATATTGCTTGCTCTTTCGAGGTGTCTGGTAGGAGAGTCGTCATTCATAAGTTGTTCAAGATTTTTATCGAACATCGATCAGGTAAGCTTAATTGTAGCCCTGACAAGGATTACTCTTCATGGTGCGCTGGACCAAACTGACGCCATGCACATTGCATTGTTGCTTGAAATAAAAAGACAGCCATGCAAGGCATATCTGGACAGGAACACTAACATTTTAGAACGTAGACAACAAAACCAATTGAGATTTGCTGAAAACCTACTTCGAGCTAAACATTCTTCCCGTGAAATCGAGAATATGGAGTGCATCCAGACTAAGCGTTCAGAAAGATTTAAATCTGACAGTCTCGACTCCCGATTTCCTGAAGTCAGTTCCTCAAATAACAGCTTCTCTTTTTTAGTTTCTGCTTGGAGCAGGTTCATACCACGATAGTAGAAGACTTTCCATTTGCTCTTGGCACGCAATTTGATTAGAATCCACTGTTTTAAAAAGGCTTGGTTGAAAAAGAGAATCAGTGAAGGTAAGATTTGAGAAAACCCATGTTGTTCAACCAATTGCATGCTGGCAACAAAAGTGTTGAATTCACATAACTCTCCTGTGTTTGAAGCAGACAATTTTTTTTACGAAGCGGTACGACTCCTTATAGTATTACCCCATTTTAATTAAGATATGTCGGAAACTCACGAGACAGGTTCTGGTAGGCTATATTGTTTGACTCACCTGATGAGAGAAACAGCATAATGCTAACCTGCTGGCGATAAAAGCCAGACTTTGATTTTCTTCTTAAGTGACGACAAACACCACTCAAATTCCGGCGAAAATGGTGAAAATGCTACTTCGTAAACAGTATGCATCTAACATGAATTCTTGTTCACTTTAAGTAGAAGCATGAAATAAGAATTATGCGTAGCAAATCTCGTAAATAGAAATCATCTTCATAAAATCATTAATAATCGAAAAAATTTTCAAATGTTCCATAAAAAAATCGTCCCCCCGTCCCCCGCGCCCTCGCTAAACATGTCCAAACTAAACAGCCAAATTTTGCAAATATAAATACAGACAATGAACCACACCCATTTCCAAAACTAAATTTTGCTGTAAGAATGAAATAGAGCTCTTTAAAAAAATACAAGAGGGACAATATTTCTTTTTTCTTGAAGAAAACATCATATTATAGAGAGTCATGGGAGGGCTGTAACACCCCACCACTAACGAAAAAGCAACATTGGCTCAGGTGAGAAGACGCGAGCACCAACTCACAAAACTTCTTAAAGAGGATGTGACTTCCATCAAAAGGGCCTCTGCCCATAACCGATGTCAGTCCTTTGGATAAAATTGACTAAATGTCATAGTTTCAAAAGAATTGTTTTTCTTTTTTTTTGGTAGATTCATCTGATTAAAGGGGCAAAACTATATAACGAATATATATAAAAAACCTTCAAACAGCTCCCAGCTACGTACCAAGTGTCTTAGCTCGGCCCGTCCCCTCCCGTTAGTCACGGCCTGGACGGTTCTCATGGCACGTATCTGTTTACGTATTGATTATTACGTCATAGACTCCTAGGATAGGTCTCCTGTAGTAGTCGCTTCAACTCGGCTGGTTGTAGCGGACTTAAGGAGCCCACTTCCTGCGACTCGCCACGCCTTCTGGTGTAGACCTTGAAGATCGTGGTGACGAACCAATTTAATTTTGTTAAATTCTCCAATGAGTTGTCGGCTGGGGCCAACATTGAGTTCAAGCTCATGGGTTTGCTAAATTTTAGCTCTTGCCACCAGTATGTTTCGCAGTTGTTGTAGTGTTCTCCTAAGGACCCGCGACTGTAACTTTCCCATCACCAGCTATCAAAAGCTTTATTCCAGATTTAAACCATAATATTCATCAGTCTTAACAGGATTTGCAAATTCAGATTGGTATATGACTTTATATAGCTTACTCAACACATAAAGTTGGTTGCGGCCATACCATGCAGGAAACACTGTTTCCCGTCCGATCAACGTTAGTTAAGCTGCATAGGGCCACACTGAGTAGTGTAGTGGGAGACCATATGCGAAATTGTGGTGCTGCAATCTTTTTTTTACAGCTGGACACCAAGAGACGCAAATGTTTCTCTAAGTATTGCTTCATAAGACAATGAAGTTTTATGAATAGGCCATGGAGATGGAAAGTGGTTCAAATAGCCTATTAAACTAAAGTCTTCTCAATATTAAAAGAAAAAAGGATTCGCACGTTTCTCCGCTGACAGCGCGTCCAACCCCTGGCTGCAAAAAATATTGTATATATAATACCCTCTTCCTTCCAACATCATAACATTCACACAGTCATAACATACATCCTTAAATAAGAAAGCCATGAACATAGTACGTAGTATTTCCTTCAGGAGAAAAGCGAACAAGGCAGTGGTTGGAACCTCAGATCAGGAAGTTGTCCCTCAAGTAGGGTTGAAACCCCCATTCAAAAATAGCCGCCAGAATAAAACAGAATAAAACTCCATTTCCTCTCTTCCATAAAAGCAGCAGAAAAGCTTCTTCAGTTTCCGCAGCTGAGGTTTTCTTCGCTGATTTTTTAAAGAACATCTCGACAGAAATCGTGAAGTCAGTTACCAATAAAACGAAAGACCCTTGGAACCTGGCGGAGGGTGATCACTTAGGGCTTCTCGCCCCGGTCGCCATTGATCCTGTGGATATGCTCTCGTCCATTGATATTAAGGACGTTACTGAATCCGTTGCAGAAATCTTGATGATACTCATCAAAAAGTTGGCCGATGAGTTATTGTTGCCATTCTTGCGAGTCTTGCGCGTGGTATTGGAGAGTCTGCTTGGCGACAAGTCCCCTCTGGTCATCATCTGGATCGAAAATTTTGTTCGCAGCGTTGTGGAGGTGATCTTCAAAGCGCTTTTTGTGGGGCAAGAATCCTCGAAGGTGGAAATGTGGACGGCCTCTCTCACCGAAGATCTTTTGAAGGCACTTCTGGGTATTGCCAAGGAGCTGGACCTGGACAACACACTCGCAGACCCCTCACTCAACTCAAACGCGGCTGTGCTGAGTGCCAAAGAGGTATCTTATATATTGCTGATACCGCTGATCACCTCCAAATCAAAGTATGAGGACTCAGTTGAAGACTCTGTGGATGATTCTTTGAAAGCCACCATAGAAGACTTCAAGGCCCATATTGAAAAAGCCTTGAGATGAGTTCAAACTGGGAAAACCCATGAACTTCTGGGTTTATGTAATGTATTTGTCAAATAAAAATGTGAAGAGTTGAAAAATGTTGTTACTGACTGATGGTCAGTACTTCAAGTTTTTTACCGTACAAGATGCTTCTTTATCAACACATGGCAGTTTCGGATTTGTCCGTGTCTAGTCCTCATACTAGACCATTTGTCAACAGCTCCTTCCTTGTTCACTCATAAACGGCTATACTGAGGTTCAAAACTCCGGCTACTCTTTCACCAGATACCTACTGGCTACCAACATTATCTCAAATCAAAATATCTCTTATTTGACAGGATTCTTTAAACTATTTTCAAATACCACCACGAAGTTTGATGTTTGGATGACATGTGTTCCTGTTGTTGTCAACTTTTCAGTCAACGGCAACCACAGCAATGGGATGGGAAGTTATCAAAAGAATTCAGAGCTTTTGAATTCTGCTGAATTCAGCGCAGTTCACGTCTAAAATTTTCTCGCGGATAACAGTCCTTGACAGCCATTTGCCTCAACAATCAGCAAGAGAGAATATGAAGACAGAGCAAAAATATTAGAGCTACACATCGGCATTTCTCACTGATGCAGTAGGCCTTTAGTCCAAGGCAACCAAGATGGAACATAAAAATAAAGTGAAGTCGAGATTGATGATTCTGTGAGAAGCAAACAAAATGCCTTCGTACTTGGGATTTAATTTGAATAAGAAAGTTTATGCGCCTGGTAGTCAGTCAATATGTCTCAGCTTGTGCTTTTTTAAAAATGGCCTGAGGGAGTTGAATTGACGAGAGTATTAAGTTGGGCCAAAAATTGACACCTCAAATGCACGTGAGCCTTGGGGGCTTGAACCGGGGGCATTTGGAAGCAGTGACATGCCTTTGAATTGAAGAAAGCACCAAGTGTCCGGCAACATTGATTTGCTTCCGAAATCAGAAGCATGTTAGAGCTCCAAAAGTGGTGGGTGCGTTTTACACATGAAGCAATGCCCGTGTATCTGCAGAAGTTCGTGTTTAGTGGAACCACTTCATGATGAAGTAACAAAGAACAAAAAACAAAACAACCAATGACCAGAAAATCCACTTATCCTGCTTGGCCCGACGCTCCACTCTGCGTATCGTGCCCTGGCTCACCCCCAACGTCATCAAGCTCTCCTCGAATTTTGACCCCAATCGCTTCAAAGTTTCATTCTGGTCCACCAAGTCACCCAAAGTGCTTTGGCCCATCTCCAAAATCATGTCGAGCTGCTGGCTACCCCGGCCCAACGATTGTTTCTCCTTATATAGGCCCTCAGAATAGCCCATTTGAGCCTGCTGGGCCATGCCACTTTGAGGGTCTGTTGTCTGGCCATATGGATTATCAGAATTGACGGTTCTCCTTCCCATGAGCTCCTGGCGAGATTCTGCTTGGAGCAGTACTTCTCGTTGCTTCCTCAAAGAGTCGAATTTCAGTTGGAACTGCTCCAAATCCGCCCGGAATTTCTCGAGCCGGATTTTGTGCTTCTCCTCTGTGAAATTATTCTGGTTCATCAAGTCGCCGTACTCTTTGATCGTCTTTTTGAACGCTGTGAGAGACGTGATTATCGTGCCTTGGAGAGACATGGGCGACGTGCTGAGATTCTTTTCAAACGCAGCCAAGTCACGTGTGACCATTTGCGTTTGTCTCACCCCGTGATTATAGATTGAGTTCATACTTGCTCAGGTGGAAGTCATGGGGGAATGCACGCTTTGCTTTGAGGTAGCGTGTTCATATTGTCACGTCGTGAAGCTGGGCGTACTGCAGGTAGTCGGCGGTGTCGTTCCAGCACACGGTATATCAACACCACTTTTGCCGTCGGTTCAAAAGTGTTGCAAATCTACAAAATCGCCTTGGCTCTCGCCAAAAATCGCTCTTCCGCTGAACGTGGTCGCTGGGGACCGAAGCTTAATAGGTTTGTGATCGTGTCACGTGACCACGAGGTCGGTGCTGTCTTTCCCTAATAGAGATCTGTTGTATTTTTGTAGACAGCAAGTATGGCCATGTCATGCTGACCCAGCGTCCTAGTTTTTGTGTTTCAAGTGATGTATGTCTGATCAGTGATGTAGATTACTTGCGTTGCAGTGACTTAGTGGAAATGTTTCTTGTATGGCGCACCAAACCACACACAAGAGATGCAACTGTCTCCATCAATATCAATGTCTTCAAGTGCCTAGTATCGGACTTCAGCTCTCCGAAAGTATCACGACTAACTGCGATAAAAATGTACCAAATCAACCAAGCAGGCACCTATGTACATTCAGCCTTATTGTGTGCCGGCCTCTTCGAGGTACTGGTTGCAGGTGCAAAAAAACTCGTCAACAAGATTCCCTGATTTTGTCCCTTGGTCTGTCTCGAGATGAGACCGGGGTAGATCAAGACACAAAAGATGGGGAAATTTATTCATGCATTTTTTGTGAATGAAATCTACAAGGTTGGAACCGCAGTGCACGTCAATGTCTAGAGAGTTGAACATGAAAAACCTTCATTTGCACCACAAGTTATTCAAAATAAACATTTCACTATTGTGTAAGATGCAAGCATGGGAGTTATTTCTCAAGCAATTTCAAAAGTCTAAAGATTAAAGACTCTGATCCGCTCACGGTACCGAGACTGCAATAGATAGCTTTAAACGGCCAACAATCGGACAGCTGGCACCATATAAAACGGCCTTCCACTAAACATCTTCCCGCGCAGGCAAAGTGCTTTAAATCCAGAGGGAAGCACGAGTATCTTCACGAAAACCGAGTGGACACCCAATTTTTTGGTTTCTAGAGAAACGTCTTGTAACTTTCAAGCGGTTTCATCTCTCTTGAAGTTCATTTTCACGTGGTTCTCCTAAAAATAAGTTCCATTGGTCGAGTCGACAAAAATGAATTTTAACCTTTTTTGCTTTCAAGCTGTAGTTTCTCTCTCAAACCCTGTTTACATACAATTGGCAAAAAAGGCTACCGAAGGAGCAACTGAAAAAGTGCTAAAACCCTTTACCAACAGAACTAGACAACCACCTAGAGCATTTGCCTCTGACGTCAAAGCTTTTATGTTGCAGTCTGTATTGCAGCCTCTACTATCCTCACAGTCGAATCCCAAAGAAAAGTCAACTATGAAGAGCTATAATCAAAAGATATTAGTTTTAGAAGCTGGTCCGTTCGAAAGCCCAAGACATTTGCCTCTTTGGGACAGCTGAAACGTATACCATTCTGAGTGTGAGTAGCATAGGATATGGAGACTTCCTCTATACCAGCAAGAGCAAGAAAACTACCCAGAGAAAGCGAGAAATTGCAATATTTGATTGCCAGCCACGTACCAGATTACCAACTGGGAACCAGTTACAGATGCCTAAATATCCATCACCTTAAGTTTTGCCGAGCAGTCGCCCCAGTCCATAGTCAGATACAAGTCACGTGACAGGGTAGATCATGAGGCGTCAAGATTAAGACCCCACGGGCGCACAAATTGCAAAGGTTTGGTCATCTCGCCTGTTGTTTCTACAAAGCGAATTAGTGACTAGGAGGAAACCAAGAAGTACTACCTTATTCAAAATCCTTGAAGTAGCAGAATACTGTAAAGCCTCCCTCTCAAAATTTTGCCCTGCAGCCATGCCGAGCTGGTGCTTCATAATCAAGAGTTTTCTTTCAAAGATAGACTCTTCATCGTAGCCTCCAAGCCAGTTCTGGCAGCAAGCAAGTATCTAGCTGCGAGATAGAGGTGATTGATAGACAAAGAAATGCTAGAAAATTTCATTTTCTGAGACTGCTATGCCTCCTCATATTTCAAATTATTTCTGGATAGGCCTGCTCTCTTATGCTGGTGTTTGAAATGCTACTGTGCAATAGCCTCGCGCATACCTCAGACCACTGAGATGCCACTATAATATGCTGGTATTTGATATACCAATATACAATGCCATCTGAAAGTAAGGGATTTGAGGGAGGGCATTGGATCTTTAATCATAAGTATTCTGGAATTTCGACATGTGCCACTCATGCCTAATGCCTAATATTTATTATGCGAACAGCTCCTCCAGTGGCATGTTCTTTCACTTCGTTGGTAGTATACTTTATGCATGGAATTTTCTTTTCGACAACATTTCTGGGAATTCCAGCAGAACTTCAGGAACTTGGCCGGCCAGAAATATTTATTGTGGCTTGTGGCGTTATCTATTTGCCTCACTGAATATCGCCGCAATGTTGACATTGTTTTGTCTTGCGCGGATTCCTATCGGCCGCAAAATTCCCCGCCCTACTAGTTTCTTCCTATTTTAGACTGTGGGGGTTACGAGCCCAAAACGGCAACTGCAGGCATATGTTAGTGGGGCTCATTTGTCTATAAAAGGGGGCGGGTCCCTCCACCTTCTCCTTCCTTTTTTTTTCCTTAAGTCTGGTGCATCCATTAGCTTGGATATGCGCTCTACCTTGGATGCTGGAGACTTCCTAGCATGAGGCTCTTTATGGGCTGATTGCTTAGCAGCATCCACCTTTGCCCTGGCTAAACCAAAAGTTGGGGCTTAGGCGGTGGGAATTTATTCGCCCAACCTACCCAGGGGTCAGACCCTGACTGCGTATGCCTAGGCTACGTGATTCATCCACGTTATGAAAGGCAATCCATGCAAAGTCATCGAACATCCTAAAATCGAACGCCGAAGAAATTCAAGTTCCCAAACTACATCCAGCTCTAATAAAGCGGGTGTCTCATAGGTTTTTAATAAAATTTTTTCCTTTAGACCGATGTAGTATATGCCCTTGGCAGGGTGTGAAATGGAGACGTCCAATTCTACACAAGCCGAAAAATAGATCTGTTGGCGCTCGCTTGGGCCGGATTTCTATTTGCGCAATGAACAACTTTACATGTATGCCAGACGCAAGTGGTTCGAGGGCAGCTCACGAATGCTTTTTCACGCAGTTCCGAACTCGCAAATCACAACGCCTATGCTTGATTCGAGTGTTTAGCATGTGTTTTTCATGAAAGGTTCTTTTGGGGCTATCGTCCTGTTTTCAACAGCATACCATGTGATATCCCGCCCAGCTTCAGTTGCCAATGATGGGCGACCATGGCTCCCTGGAGAAAAAAGAAGCCATGACGGACAGCACAGCCATTGTGTGTCTTGACAACTCGCTGGCGTCAATTCCCTTCCTAAGCTCCTTGAGTATTTAATAAAGTTTTTCATCCACCGGCAAGCCCTCTGGCTAAGCCATCTAGGAAAGCCCTGTGAGTGAGGCTGACTTCAGTACTCTTAAATGATCAAAGCTCAGTCGCCATTGTCAAATCACATGGTAGAACATGGGGCCCATATTGTAGGACCCTCCGGGGTCTTTATTGTTCCATCAAGCAGTCTCCCAATTCTCCAAAAATAGTCATTCTAGCGCGCTTACAAACATCAGCAGTAAAGCGCCATGGCTCGTGCAGCAGCCTACCCGAAAAACCTCACGAACGCCAACATCAAAGCCGCAGTACCGGAACTGACACCGATCAACCACTGCATGACCTGCGTCTTGACGGACTTGATCTGCATTTGCACATTGGCGATCTCCTCGTCAATGCGCGTGAACGTGTCTTCGATCTTCAGCTCGTGGATGGAGCTCTCCTCCCGGATGCGGCCCTTCTCCAAATTCAAATCTAGCCGCACGCCCGCCAGGTTCTTGGTGATTTCCTCCTTGAGCCTGTTTTGGAGATTGGTCAAGTTGGTACGGAGCAGCTCCTGCTCTTTTTTCAAGCTGGTGAACTCGCTCTTGTCCATGGTCTGGAGCTCGCCCTTCAACTTGGCAAAGTCCACCTTTTGCTGGTATGCCACTGAATTGAGCCGTTCCTTGGTCACGAGGTTCTTGGCAATCAGACTGATGCCGTCGTTGACGGCCTTGTTGACAATCCCCACGGCCGTTTCAGCCTGCTGTGGCGAAAAGCCGCCTTTTTCAAGCGACTGGACGAATTTCTTGGTATCAAAACGGGTGACGCTGCTGAGACACCTGCGTGCAATGCCGATTTGGTTCATTTTGGACCCGGGTGATTGGTGTGGGAATTTCAGGGGTTAAACCAGGTTATTTTGGTGGTTTGGGGTGGTTTGGTGGGGAGCGTCTTGCTTTCTGTCTCCTTGTGGTGATGTTTTGTTGTTGATCTATTATTGCTGAGATGTAGCTGAGATGTTGCTGGTGTGTCGCTGATATGTTGATATGTTCCTTGTATCTTGCTGCCGTGTTACTGTTATGTTGATTTTGTTTGGCTTTGATATTTGCTGTTTTTTTTGGTGCTTTTGTTTGTGCTGTTAGTTTGTCTACTTTGCTGCGTGTCCTCTCGTAGTCGTGGCTTTAGAAACTCTACATTATGTAGGCTGGTGGGGTGGTGTTTCGCGGCGATACCAATTGGCGCACAGGCCAGAAATAGGGCCAGAGTATTGATCCGGCCTGGCATGGACACACAAGGATTCAGAAAAAATACTGGACACTCATCAGATACTATGGAAGGGAATTATCAAATCTACCGGCATAGTGGAAGGATCTCACCCAGTTTTGCTTTTTGGGACCCCTCTATGTTTTTAATTAATTGTGAGAAACGCACCGAAAAATAAAAAAAAAGGAAACGTGGTGTGTAAATAGGTACAAGTTTGGAAGTTTAAACGAGCCTACTCCCAATATGTTGACATTGACTTGCAATACTCTAAAATAGCCACTATCGTTTGGGCGAGTCGGTCAAAAAGCAGGGATCCTTGAAAAAGGGTGTTGCTTGCTGTCAGATGTGAAAGTCCTCACCATCAGGCGTCGGTCGACCTCTCTGCCATGTAAACTATGAAAAACTGAGGAATACTATCAAACGAGCCACTATATCAACGAACATAATAGTATCAGTATTATAGAAAAAAAATATTTTAGGCGCACCCTCCATGGTTTTTCCTGAAACACAGCTGCTCCTGCTTTTCGGAATTGCCTTTATCCGTGGTAGCAATTTAAAAACGCGAGGAATTCAGAATGTGCTTGGCTTCTATTGCTCTGAGCTTGTTGCTTTTGGTACATCACACACAAGACAAAGGGAAGTCTTAGTCGTTTCAACTGTTGCTTTTGAGTCTTAAAACAAGATATGCGCTTTTGAAGATAACTATGAGTGTTGAGGATGAAATGGTTTCAAGCTTCATACAATCTTTATGGAGGCTCAGCCTGAATTATAATTAAACATATATATAGAATATAGATTGCTTCATAGAACAGGGGTAATTACCATGATTAAAGATGTTAACGGAGACACTAGAAGCCCCATAAGATTATGAGAATAACCAAAACATGAGTCCAAGTCAAGAAAGAATGCTTTCAGAATTTGATGAGTTCCAATTAACGTGTTTGTCTAAAATTTCTCATCTGGGAAGTTAGTTGCTTTCCCATTCAAAACTTAATGATAACTGCAGGATATGGGGCTTCTGGGCCGGTTTGGGAAAGCGTTGTAGGACTTGGTCTCTTGCCCTATAACTTGGGGTTACCGTTCAACTATTTTGAGCTTCCATATAGAGACTTGGTTCTACTATGGGCGAGAATCACTTAATGTGGGCGCCAAAAACAACACAGCCTCAGATAACTACAGGAGCGGAGCCATCTGAATACAAATAAGATTACAATCTCTTCCTGTTGGACTCTAGTTCAAGGTGCGCATGCGTGGTAAGTTCTTGGTACATTGGTTTGTCTCTTACCAGTGGCCGTTACCAGAACACGCTGTACTGATTTTGTGACAACAAATCAAGAGCTAAAAATTGCTTGATTGATTTAAAAAAGGGGTTCCTAACCCCACGTTCTAACTGCAGGTAGTGACTTTGCCCAATGTGGTGGGTATTTTGCATTTACATGGAGCAAAACCCGGGTATATAGAGCAGTAGCCCGGTGAGACATTTTGAATGAACCTTTTTTTCTAGTCAGTGATAGTCCCTTCTAAGTCATCCTACAAACATACAATACTTCCCTCCCGATGATGCTCATGTTGGCTGTTGATGATACTCTTGTAACACGATTCAAAACTTTTCAAGTTCAATTCATTAAGTATAAATGAAGAATCCCGTGAAGCGAGATTAGAGCAGATACAGAAAGGTGGTCTGCTCCTCCCCCTGTGTATTTTTACAAGCCAGTCTGTGGGTGTGAACGGCGTAACAAAAGGTGTAGGGTGTAGTCAAGTATGGTCTAGAGTGTGGCGTACAGCGTAATGTAGGGAATGGTATAAGTGTAGTGTTAAATATAGTATAAACAATGGTATTGGGAAAGTGATAAAGGGTATATATAAGAGTAAATTGTCTGATAAAGGGTAAGGTATAGAGTATGGTATGAAGTATAGCGTGAGGAATGACATGGGTATAGAACATAGTATAGAGCAGAGTTTAGAGAAGAGTATAGAGCAGAGTATAGAGTAGAGTGTAGAATAGAATAGTACACTATAGAGCACAATATAGCCCAAAAAAGTAATTTGATACTTTCAATAATTCAACACAGACTCTTTACTAAAAGCATTAACTATAGAGTCGTCGCCACAACGTACTTTCGTTTTTTACATCAATCTGAATTTCAATTTTGTAATTTTGCAATTATACGGTATTCTTATAGAATCACTAAAACATGAGATATCAGGGCTACTATATGATGTTTACATTTTGAGTTCATAATCCAGTTAATTACGCTGTTATACTTTTTGAATATCGAGTGTTCAAGTTGCCAATGGGGATATTGTCCCACCCTGAAAATACTTTAGAGGTTGAATTAATACTTTGTTTTATTAATCCTGTCTTTCCAGTATTGAGCTCTCGATTGCTACGTCCTTCATCAAAGCAGCTTTCAATATGAGCATCGACTGTAGATTTAGTTGAACAGAATATTCTTTCGTGAAAGGAAGCCCATTGGTCGTTTTATGACAGGATCCGCTTACTAAATTAATGCTTTTGTTAATTCGAGAGTATCCTCATTATTAATATTGGAGCTTCTGTGTACTAAGAAGTTATTTAATGTGCTTACTGCTTGATAGTTCTTTCACCAGGTCTGAAACCATGATCAACCAATTCCATGTCAATTTTCGCTCGCATTAGAATAGTACGATTTCTAAAAGTAGGTATATATAAATGACTAAGTTAATTATCATTATGCATAAACAACCTGGGATCAGGTTGACTTTTGTTTTTTTGGTAATAACTTCATTATTAATTTTATACATGAATGAGATTATTATGTATGATTTAATTTCTCAAGACAATATTATATTTTAGACTCAGCCGACTTGAATTTTAATTTAAGTTCAAGAGCTTTACGATTAGCTGCTTGGGCGGTTTTTTGTGGCCACGATATGCTTTATGTTTTATGTTTTATTCAATGTTCTGATATTTGAATGCTATCTCTGTATTATCAGCTGAGGTCAGATATATTAAGCTTTCACAATACATACATCTCGAGTTGTCACACCTTTGGTCTTGAATGATAATTCGGCTGCTTTCATTTTATACAGGTTGAAGCCATACCATATTCCGCTTCCTAAGTATTGGTTTTCCAAGAATTTTGTCACTCAATAAAATTCTACTTGTAGGACCTTTAACTGTATAATTTGCAATGTGTCAAATTCATCCTTGCTTGTAAACTTTGAAATTGTTAGAGTGGTCAGTAAATATTTTGACTACTCGGAATAATATTCTAATTTATTTTGCAAACTTCATCCATAATTGGCCGAGTTTTTACTTCCACAATTCCCTTGTCTGGAGTACTAATATTCCTTCGAGCTTTTTTATCTTGCCGTAATGGGCTAGAATTGATTCTATTCAAGTGATTGACATTATATATTACTAACCGAATTACTTCTACAGGCTCCTCTGGGGTTGTTAGTTCTCCTCAAAGATGGTGCCCTTATGAATCGAAAATAGATGTTTCATGCTCCCTCTCTATCCTCATTATAAGATGTCAGTATATATAACATCTTATTATGTTCTTGCATACTGCCCTTCTCTGTTTCAGAGCCACCATTTGTCTTTGCTAGTATATGACCTACGGATTGAGCATATTCCTAGAAGCATCAGACTTGTTCTTTATGTTATACAAATTGGTTTTGCATGCGCCAAGAAGGTCAACAAGAACAGCCCATAGGGTAGGGAGAGCCGCGAATGATGATTTAGAAACTCGATCATAGACCCTTTCAATCTCAATTATGACCAGTTTCAATCCTAACCATGGCCATGACTAGACATCATGATCCTCTTGAATGTAAGAATAGCCCGGGCCTTGCCAGGTAATCTCACTCTTCGCACCTAATAGAGATATGAATATGAGCCTTGCTAGGATCCTACAATGAATACGTCTCGCATTATAGGAGAAAAAGCGGGAAGCCGCACGCATACAATGGTTCTCTTTCTCCAAATATGGGTACTTACTACAAGGTGACGTATGGTATTCTACCAAAACCGGATACTACTCTTATGTACCGTTTACTGAGTATATATACAGTCCACAAGATCTGTGCAACACATAAATCGGGAATTAACATTCTTGTTTGGACACATTTCAGATCGTCTGCCATAGATGGGGCCCACATAAAAAGCAACAGCAACACATCAATCCGGTCTGCTCTCCAAACCGACAGTCCAGCAACATACGCCTCCATGCTCGCGGAACATTTTGCTCAACTTCTGGTTGTGTTTGATAATATCAATACCTATTTGCTGAAAAAAAGGTACTGGACAAAACTCAACGTAATATTGTTCCAAGGCAGACCTATTCATCTGGACTTACAACGTGGGGAAATGAATTTGGATGTTACAGGCAGATATTTTATACGTTCCAATGCAAGAACAATTTCTTTTGCTTCTCGCGGCCAGGGCAATGAATTCACCAAAAATTTTCTTATGAAACTGTTCGATAATAGTTGCTGGAAGATGTTTCCTGTTTTGAAAACTGATGTTATTCGATGAATGAACCAACACATGACTCTGAGTGATATAAAGAGAATCTTGCTCACCACTTACTGTATTTCTTCAACACCTTGACGTTTCCGGAACTAAAAGCTTTCTGGATTTCATTATTTCAAGGGCCAAAAAAGCTTCACTAAAATTGACGGTTTTGTGAAACTCAGAATCTTGCTTTCAATCTTCAAATTCTCGAAGTTTTAAAAATGAAAGCGTCTCTGTGCTGTCTCCAATGTTGAACTTATTTATACACAGATGACGTTCATAAGTTCATGTCTTTATGCTGAAGCTAAACGAGAGCATAACATCCATGCTGAAATGATGGAGTAATTATAACATATTGCTTAAAACATTTTTCCAAGTACAAAGCTCTCCAAAAAAGTTTTCACTGTCTAGGAAAGCCTCTCGATAGATTTTGAGAAGCACTAAAGCCTTCACCGGGCTGATTTTAATAATGTTAAGAGCTCAAACTGTGTGGGACTTTTTGGTGAATGTTATTTGCTCAGTCTTCTGAAAGTTTTGATCATAAATTCATGCATCATGATATATGTTGCCCGTATAAGGTCGCTTTTTTATGTTTGTCTAATCAACGCAGAAAGAGGTAAAACGTAGTATATATGGAACATTTAAAGACCTTCCAAAAATAATTCTAGTGTCGAAAAATCAAACCTCCATATTTTATTACGGCCTTGACAAAATTCTAGGCACGCATGAGACTAGGTATTGACAACTACGGTATCAGTTTCTGAATTCAGTCTCCTGCAATAGATGCCTGACCCGACAAATGCTACATAATAAGGGAGTTTACTTTCCGGCTCGTGAGGTCCTTGAATTTATACCTTGAAAACCGTGGTGATGAATCAATTCAAGTGTTTTAAGTTTTTGAGAGAGTTCTCGAAGGAGGTCAACATATTGATTCAGATCACAGGTGGATATAATGGGATGTCTGTGATTTGTATTATGGATCCTAACACTCTTGAATTTGACTTTAGTTGTCATAAGATTTTGGCGGCTCATTTGCAAATAAACTAGATGAAATTAATAGTGATAATAAAACCATTTTATGAATTAAGCTGGCGGCTGCCTCTTTGCTACAAGCAAAAAGCTAAAAGATAGTTCAGCTTAAGAAAGCTGGCCTAGTCCTTCGGTGATATTCAGGAAATGAGTACTAATTCCTGAACCTGAGAGTATACAATTATCACGACCCTTATAACCATGTCTTCCTTGTTAACCCTGCTTAAGATAACATAAGCTTTCTTCCACAGAAAAATCATCTGATTAAAGGAGAAATACTATGGAAAAAAAGAAAACCTTCAAAGGCTCCCAGGTGTTTAAAGTAGCTCAAGGGCCTTTCATTTGTACTGTAAGCTTGTTCGTTCAACTTTTTTTCTTTTCTTTAAAGAAACATTATATAGTAGGATGCCACTGGAGCGATGTAAAACTCTTCCACTAAATAAACAATTCAAAAAAAAAGCAAATAATAAATTGTCAAATTGGCTCAGGCGCAAAGGCGTGAACACCAACTCACGAAATTTCCCAAAGAGACTCAAAAAGACTTCCACCCATAACCACTTAAATAAAAACAACTAAATGCCATATTCCCTTTTTTTTTTTGGTAGATTCATCTGATTAAAAGGGCAAAACTATATTAATCTTTA